TTTTTTTCTTTTTTTTATGTGGCTGTGGTGATGTGTCTCTGTGGTGACGTGCATCATGATTTGATGATTTTCCCCTGACCGTGCTGGCGATACTTTCTGTGTGGCGCTTCCCTGTGGCTGCAGGGGAAGTCGAGCGTATGCTACTCGACGCAGGGTATCAGCAACTCTCGGAGAGGGATCACTGGCCGCTAGAGCTTGGTGGAAAGTATTTCGTGACTAGGAACATGTCCTCGATCATTGCATTCTCAATTGGTCACAGGTAAGGTGTCAAAAAATTCACTTAGTACGCTCAGGGCATGCTCAGACTAGCACGTTCAAGAATGTATGTGACTGCAAGTACGGCCTGGCATGCACGCACCTGACTGCAATCACGTCCAGAGCCGAGTTGAAAAATTCCTAGTGTGAGTGTGTGCCCTCACAGTCCTGTTCCACTCACTGTTCCATCTGAATATTGCCCGGCTTCCTGCTAGTATGCAATAGAATGGAGTCTCGTGTATTGTCAGTTAGAGGAGTGCATGCTCCTATCTGTTGTTGCGGGTGAATGCATGAAGCTGCGGATTGTACATAAAATTTATCAGGACCTTTTTGATGTCCTTATCACCGGTGAAATACATTGTTTGGAAAGTGCAAGGTGTAGTTGACACAAAAAAAAAAAAAAAAAAAAAAAAAGTTCGGTAAGTGCAAGGTGTAGTTATGCCACATGCGGATTGGTTGTTTCCTTTGTGTCAAGAAGTGGCTGAATCACTGCGAGGGCATATTTAGAGTACAGTAAGGGCATAATAGGGCCCTCGCCGCACACGAAACCAAAACGAGGAGCGCATCTGCCCCACGAAAGGTGTCCATGGGAAGGTGCATTTGTTTTGTTTTTCGATTCGTGTGCCGTCCGGCGATGCCCACGGTCGCATTAGTACCTTGTTTATTCTTTTTCGGGAAATTTTCCCTCCTCTTTTAAAACCGCCAGTGTAAGTAGAAGCAGAGTGCTGCTCTTCAGATTCCGGCCAGGGCCAGTTGCGAAAGCGGCAGGCCCCACTTTGAAAAGGCGCAGTTGCAGCCTCGCGCCGACTTGGGCTCGGAAGGTGCTTCCGCCGACTTAGGCTTGTGGGAACTGGGCGACAGCCTTGAGATATAAAAAAGGAACCGACCCGGCCCTTGTAATTCAGGATTCATTTGGTTCTGTTCATCTGATTGCATCTGGATTCGAACTTGGGATGTGTGCTTCAACAGATAGTTTAGTTTATGGGTGTATCGACTGAGCTATGGCCATTGGTACATTAGTACCTTTTTTTCACAGCCATCAGTCCATAGTTGTGGGATGTCATGGCCTACCGTATGAAGGGGAGAGGGAAAGGACTTGCATGTGTTCTCCCACTTTGAGTGCTGCTTTATATTTTTGTCCTTATTGTTGTCTTCCAAATTTTCCTGAGACCCTCTGGCAGATGTTTGGATGTGCAAGTTTCTTACATTTTCCTTGTCCAGTTTCTGTCTATGTTTTCTCTTTTTATTTTTTATTTTTCTTCGAGAAAAGAAAACACTTGATTGCTCATGAAAAAAGAGATTTGAGGCCTCTGTTTCAGGATTGGGGGGCGCCTTCGGATGTGCCCCGCCCTGTGACTCACACAACGTCTTACTGACTGAAGGGCAAATTTGCAAAGGGCATGCGTTTGACTGTACACCCCCCCCCAAACTTGGGCCATTTGAGGGCAAAGAGGGTGCACCGTTGGCAGTAGATATTGGTATTTGCAGGAAAGGGTGCATAGTACTGCACACCACGTATGTGACCAGGAAAACAGACTTAATTCAGTTGACATTTCCAGTTGGAGTATAACATGTATTATGCCCACCTTCGGTCGTTGGAAATGTCTGCCTAATTAAGTAATTTTCCTCCTCTGTTCTATTTTGAGATTTTTTAAATTTTTTTAAAAAAAAAATTTCTGTCAGAGTAGCCTGTCTATAAGACTCTATCGGCCTCGCTGCACTACTCTCGACATGCACAAAAGACAAAAATATTGGCCGTGTATCTTTCCATATTCTAGCGAAAGATTCACTCTCGTTTTGCACATTTCGAGAGTAGTGCAGCGAGGCCCTATATTCTTCTCTCTTTTGTATTGCTCCAAGTGCGAGAGCCAGGATGGTGCCATGGTGGATTCGCTACTCAGCCCATGTGGCTGCTGAATGCTACAGTGTCACATGAAATGTAGGTAAACACACCCCAAGGGCCCAAGTCCCAATCCTGATGAACGGAGGTGAAAAAAAAAAAGAACTCTGAAGTACCTGGGAGGCTGGGATAGATCAGCTGGATGACGGAAAAGAGTCGCACGAACTACGGCTATAATGGGCAGGCATTCTGTTCAGCTGAAGATGGTAGGCAAGCGGGGACTGGTATGATGTGTCCAATATGGATGGATGCATTGAATTTGGCTGATTCAGGTGAAGACGGTAGGAAAGGGGGGAATGGTATGATGTGTCCAATATGGATGGATGCATTGAATTTGTCGTGGTCGTTGGGCCCCAATTGATGGTGTTGGACAGGTTCGTTGCCGGAGAAGGCTTCTGGGTGGTTGGAGCGCACACTGATAGTCCTTGCCCCAAGCTCAAACCTGTAACCAAGGTGACAAAGGCAGGGTGTTTGATGGTAGGTGTGCAGCCTTATGGGGGTGGTATCTGGCACACGTGGTTTGACCGTGATCTGAGTGTTGCGGGTCGTGTAATGGTGAAGAAGTCGGCGGACCAGTTGGACATGGCACACTGCCACGCAGTCCCAAATGGGAATGGGAATGGGCATGCTGTTGCAAACGGGAACGGCTATGCGGCCCCGAATGGAAATGGGCATGCGGTTGCAAACGGGAACGGCTATGCGGCCCCGAATGGAAATGGGCACGCGGTTGCAAACGGGAACGGCTATGCGGCCCCGAATGGAAATGGGCATGCTTTCGCAAATGGGAACGGCCACGCAGTCCCAAATGGGAATGGGCATGCTTTTGCAAATGGGAATGGCCATGCAGTCCCAAATGGGAATGGGAATGGGCATGCGGTTACAAATGGGAACGGTCACGCAGTCCCGAATGGGAACGGGCATGTGGTTAGCAATGGGAACGGACATTTCGGAAATGGGAACGGGCACATATCTGCGAATGGTCACAGCCAGAAGACGCCAGTTATCGCCTCCGAGCTTGTGTTGATCAGAAGGCCAATCATGCGCATCCCGACGCTCGCCATCCATTTGGACAGGTAGGTAGGAGATGACATAAGAAGAAGAGGACTCTGTCTTCGTTTTTCATTCTTCGGTTTTCGTTCTTCGATGTTCATTTTTTTTTGTTCCTTCCATCATGTCAATTTTCTTAGCTCTTTTTTTGCCTCTTTTAAAGTCTTTTTTTGCCTGCTTTTCCCTTTTTCTGTTTTGCCTTTGGGGTTTGACTGGCAGTGTGGGTCCTACGGAAAAACTAGGCCCTTGGTTCCTTCAGGGTTTTTTTTTTTTTTTTTTTTTTTTTTTTTTTTTTTTTTTTTT